TTTGTGGTAGCACAGGGGCGGACAGCAGTATGAAAAATAAAAAGATGAAATAATATAAAGAGGAGAAATTGAGTCTTAATTTTACGAATGAAACGCCATTGTTCCATTTTACACATATTAAAATCATTATACTTCATACGATACGGATAATCCCAAGTAAGAAACTGAGAATGAGAATCTGCAGTCCCTCGGGCAGTATTGGCAGTCTTGTTTTTACAAAGAGTGCGCGAATAAATTACGAGCCTCATTTATTTGCTTAAATAACAAGAACGAGCGACTAGTTATAGCCCCTGACCGAGGCATTTTATCCATCATGCACTTCGAGAAAAGAAGATCTCGATTCTGAAAAGACGGGATAGACAACACTTTTACAAACATCTGTAGAACGACGAGTAGAGAGGACAAGCGCCGGCGAAACAGTATACATCCTCGGATTGGTGCGCAGAAGATCATTGATACAAATCTCGGATCACCGGGCAATTCCAGGTACGATCAGCTGATTATTGCGCTGGAGAAGCGTACCGAGTGATATAAAGTGCGTGTGTCGTCTCTTACTCGCTACTTGTAGCTACTGCACGCCGACTCTAATTTCAGATTTACAACGCGGAAAAATGTGTAACATCGAGATCCAAGATACGAGATCGTGATTCTCCCCGAAGGTAAATTAATACAGTGTTTAATGTTATTTTCTGTCGCGATGAAAGAAGAGCCCTTATTACGCTGAAAACGAATTCTACGAACCTTTGAAATATATATTTCAAATAAAGCTTGGCTAACTATTTTTAACTCGCACGTTTGTTGTTAATTTTGCGCGCCGATAATCAATACATACAAATGCACCCACGCGTTTCAGCAATGTGTGCAAGGATCGAAATTTTTTAAAATTTACTAATCATTTATAAAGATATTCTTGTTGTGATGTTAGATGATTGCAGAAATTAAAGTGCAGAAAAGAGGTACGAGATACGAGTAGATGTGGATGGACCAATTATGCAAACAATTATCGAACTATTCGGAAAATTATTTCGATTTCATATTTAACTGCTATTTTATACGAATCAAAGTCCTTGTAAAATTCATTTCAATATTTAGCAATAAATGAATTTTTTTCCATTTTTCCCTTAATTTAGGCTAATTTCATTGGTTACCCGTGATAATCTGATTATAATTTATTTTACACAATTAGTCATAAATGGCAAAGTTCCAGTACACTATGCTTGCAAAGCACGTAGGTAAATTGTTTAATTAATATGTATTTTGTGCTCATAATATACTTATTGTACGCTTCAATTATGCGAACAATAATATTTTTCAAACCGTTTATATATAATTTTTTCCTAACACGTGTGATAAAGGTTTTGAAAACAACGTTTTGAAAAATCCGATAGAACTGTCAATTATTTTCACGACTATATAATATTTTCAGAAAAGATTTAAAATACATTGGATAATTTATTTTTACATTTTAAGCAACATGTTCAGGTTATAAAGATAAGTACTCGGAAAATTGCATTAAAATTTTAAATTTCATACACCGCATAATCTAAAATTTAATGTTTCACGGTTCAAATTTTGCCAACTTTTTAAATTGTAGTAGTATTATGTAGTAAAAGCAAAAACAAAACAATAAACAAAAAACAATAAACAAAAAACAAAATAAAAACAAAAAAAACAAAACCAAAAGAATGTCTACATTAACGGTGTATGTGAACATAGATTAAAAATAAAAGGAAAAATGTTTTCCATTATGTTAAATCGTCGTATTAATGTAAATGCCGCAATACACGCGCACGAGAAATAAAAATAATATTTTCAATTGACGAGGGTCAGATAAGCTCCATACAGTCCAAAACCAAACATATATTATTGCACGTGAATAGGATTTATAAAAATAACTAAAGTAAAGTGATAAATAAGTTAAGATCAATCATTTTTCTTGAGCATAGCGTTCGTATCTGGAAAAATAATTGGTGATACAGTAAATTTAATTGCATAAGAAATTAATTGAAATATATGAACTTTCAATGCGGTATTTTCAAAATCAGGTCTCGCGATACTTATTTCCGTATAAACTGTGAAATATTCGCGAAAGTTAGTAGGTATTTTTTTTAAAGCAGCCCTTGCCTTTCTATAAGAAAAAGGGTCATTCGCTCAAGCCATAAACCTTTCGCGCCCATTTAAATGAAATCTCGTCATATGGGCCGTGAGTAAAGGATGTGTTGCCTTTGCTCCAAGACTGATATACTCCAACATATTACAATGATTTCGGCCGCTGCACTCGCGGATATGCACATAAACTCGTGCGCCTTTTCCCCCCGCGCAAAGGTGCGAACGGAGAAAGGTGGTACGATAAGAGAAGAAAGAAAAAGGTCACACTTTAGGGGGCCATAAAACATTTGTCTCTACCCTGCTCGCTCTCTTTTTTCCACTCCCGTGCCCACTTGAGGTGGAGTATATTGCATTTTCTCGCTCGCCGCGGGATTTTGAATTGAATTTGAAATCGCGGGGCTTGATTTTACGGGGCGAAACTGTCGTTGCGCATATATATATATATATATATATATATATATATATATAAGCCGCGAATCGGGTGAAACGAGAGCAGCGAAAAGCCGGAAGGGATAAAAAAAAGTCGATTATCGATTTACGCCGGCTTTTCGTTTTGCGATACATGACGCGGGATATGTGTATTACCGGTTCTCACTTTTTAGCAGAAATTCGCATAAGATGATTACTTTGATAATCATAGACTTTGCTTTTGTTTTCAAATTTTAAATGCCTCGGAGATTACGGTTAGCAAACGGTTTATAAGCTATTCGTTATAAATTTATGGATTTTTAAGTATAATGAACGATTTTTCGGCTGTTCTAGCCTGCCTTTGTATGTTTCCGTTTTATATGTAAAGATAGATATTTATATAAAAGTGAAAAAGCAAAAATAATAATTTAGACTTGAAAACATAATTTCTTCTAAATTAATTGCCGATATGGCAAAGCAGTTATTCCGTATAAAAACTTCTAATTAAGCTTATCATCGCATTTAGTCTCTATTTCATAATTATAAAATATTCATACTCAAAGTTATACAATTTTCGTATTCTGAACAATCACACGATATTAATGTTGATTTAAACGAACATATGATAATAAACACAATAACATTTGAACGAATTATTCTGAAATACATTTTTGATCGAGCTATATTGATTAAAAATTAGAGCTACGATTAATTTTTATTACCAACCTAAGGTATAAAATTTTCAAGAATTCCATTAATAATAAATTGTTATTACCTAGTTAATATTGATGGAATGTACTTTTTGAAATTATTGTGCCATTATTTTAATCATTATCCAATTGAAATTGAAAATTCGATAAATGTATTAAAACCTATTATAGTTATTACAATTCAAGTGGGAGCTAATAATTGCTTTTTATATTCTTAAATTGCCCTTTTAGAATCTATTAATTAATTTCTTGATTAAAATAATAACAATGTAATAAACACTTTTGATTTAGCAATAACAGTATTACGACACTTTTGTCATTTTACTGAATACTAATTTTTATAAAAATTCTTTGTACAATAGAGACTCAAATTTTTAACTATTTTTTTTTTTTTTTTTTATGTAATAATTAATATTATCTAACGAAAATTATAAATATGGAAACATGTACAAACGTGCATGCATATCACACACGCGCGCGTTCGCAAGCACACGCACACGGCATACATAGAGTAACGTCACATCCCGCAGTAATTAGCCGAACAGGTATTGATATTTAAGTCAACAAAAAATTTGGCCATTATTACAATAAAATACGTTTTATTAATCCCAAATGTAACTTTTATAATTCGAGTCTCTTGAAACTGTATAAACTGATTAAATATTTGATGATTAAAATGTCAAAAATCAACTGCACAATCACTTAAAAACGTAATAAGTAAATTCTCATTAAATACTCTGTATTAAATTCAACATGATTAATCATTGATTTTAATCATCATACGTTCTCAGTTGAATAATAATTATTAACGCTGTATATCAATATATAATAAATATACTTAATAAACTTTAATAATAATGCATTTGTAATTTATTGTATTTGCGTTTGATTTTGCTATTATTGATAGTCAATTACGTTGATGGAAATCAATGAGAATCAGTTATACAACGCTCCAAATTGAAACTGAAACGCCAATAATGTTAACGTCTTTACGTTTAATATGTATGATTATTTTCTGTCAATTATAATCTTAATATAATTCGTACTAAATTTGTAAAATTTTTAGTAAAATTTACAAAAGGTAATCGATATTAAAATTAAAATTTCTTGAATTCAATTTAAATGTTATGTAATTTCTGTCGATTGATTTTCAACAAAAAAAAAAAAATTAATAATTCGTATTCCTGTTTAACGTTAGTAATACTTAATGTCTAATAAATATTTATATTCTAATTTTATTTTCGCATTCTGTTTTCAATTTCTATATATCTACGCTTCTTTTTGAGAAGACATATTGATGCTTTGAATGCTTTCCTAACCTCGTTCTAGAAGCTATGTAAACGCAAGATTATTTATTTTCTTTTTTGTTGATATATTTAACGACTTACTCTTAAAATAAAATTAATTAATGAATAAGTATATTCTTTTCTTTTCTTTTTTTGGTTAATTTTAATGATATTTACTTAATTGTTAGATAATGATCAGTGACACTTAGCGTTGCGATTGATTGGAACCGATTACGATTATTATATCATACATTTCAGTAATATATTTCAGTTATAATTTCTTGAAACTTTTAATTTAATTAATACATATTTAATTGGAATTTCTTGCTTTCACAAATAATTATATCATTTCCTAAGAAATTCGAGAAAATAAAAATAAATCCGATAATGTGGAACATCCCTTAATATGCTAATGATAGACTGAAATGCAAAAAGATGGGATCCTAAGCTATTAAGGAAAGAATAAAATAAATAAAATAATATATACCTGGTCGTTTTCCTGTTGATCTTGACCGTACGTAGGAGTGTCACCATTTGGGGTTGTCGAAGCAGAGGGTCGCTGGGATGTTGACAAGTTGATTGCACCGTCTCCATCCGTGTCATGATCCATTATGCCATCATCCTAAGGAAAAAGTAAAAATTTTTACATTATTGCACTTACACTGGCCATTCTCCCTCCTATACACACACACGCGCGCACGCACGCACGCACGCATGCACGCACGCACGCACACACGCATATATATATATATATATATATACACATGTTTATAAGCTCATGGAAAATATAAAGCAAAATTAATTCGAATGTCCGACGGGACAGATTAATTGCACTATACGATTGTAGAATGTCGAACAATAGTCAAACCAGAAAAGAATTTTTTTTGAAAACTTCATTAATCTAAAGTCAGTACTGAATTTCATACAACAAAAACTATGTTCATATATATAATTTATTTTAATGGTTTTCTGTCAAATTCGACAACAGTTTTTAACATATTGTTCGGTCTATCGTATAGCAACAAAGGACAAGTAGTGTGCACACAAGAAGTTTCGTATAAATAATATCTATAATCTATTTTGAACATTTTCGATGACTGTACTCTTTATTTATCTAATCTAAATATTTAATAGAAATCATATATATATATATATATATATATATATATATATATATGTATGTATGTATGTATGTATGTATGTATGTATATAAATTGTGTTAACTTGTTGAGGAATTATTAATTATTACATAGCCTTTGAACGTAATTTAACAAATATGTTCTTATAAATAACAATTTATAATAAAAAAAGGTTCACATTATTGTAAATATTAATAAAATGATGTTTAGTTTTTCTGTTTAAATTGATAAAAGTGCTATAATTTTCCGTAATATATTTTCAAACGTTAAAAATGCTTTTTCTATTGTTTATTTAATTTATGGCTTATAATTTTTTTTTTTTGCAAATTATGTTTTGTATTCATAAATTAACTTTTTCGTATTTTCACTGTAACTTAATTATAAATCAATAAAGCATATATTTAACGATAATTGACATATTAAAAAAAAAAAGTTGTCAATTTTCAATATAAATAATAATTTTTTTGAAATTATGCTCATTAATTTAACAACTATAACATTGGATATACGAATTATTATTATTATTTGCATAAACTATAACGAATAGTCTTATTTTGATCATTTACTCGATTAATTTTAACAATACAATGAAGCTTTCATACGACTCTTAAATCTTGTTCGTTCGTTCATACAATTTATAGATATTTTTTTTCGGAAATGCAATTTAAAAGAATAAGAGTAATTGTTGAATAATTTTGTTATTTCATATGAAAGATCGTCAAATTTTTTTCATACATGCTTAACATTGTTGTTCTACCCGTATTGGTAATCACTGGAGGGGCCGGTAATAAATAACTATAAACTAAAAAACAAAAGAAAACTGCAACTTCATAAAGTTGCGTAAATATACTAGCGTTTCTTTCGGAATTTGAGAGACAAATTTCACCTACTTAAAGAAAAAGAACCGGTGGTCATTTCTGGAGATAAAAATGATTCGGCATCATCCAAACCGAAGAAATCAATAAGTGACACAATAATCCAGTATCTTGAAGCACTAATAATCATCGGAATATCACAATAGGGGAAGGCCAGAATGCTCGACAATCAACACTAAATTTTCTCGGCACTGCACCCCATCATATCCAATATACAGTGCGTGATTTAGGAAAATCCCATGATCACAAAACGCCACTTTTCCGCGCGCGCTAAATAACCAGCGACGAACTTGAACCTTGCGCGCGCAACCCGTCTCACGTGATTCGCATGCCCAGCATAAAGGTGCGATTGGGCGCCGGGCAAGGATAAAAAGGCCGGTAGATCCTTTAGCACTCGGCTCCCTTATCGGCGTGAAATCGATGAATTTTTAAGTCGTATCTCTCGCGTACAGCACACGCGGACGCCGCGACGGAGTAACGAGGACTAAGCAACCAAAAGTAGCCGCGCGCTACGAGCCTTACCACCGCCACGAGAAAGAAAGAATCTGCGAGTGAGCGAGCGAGCGAAAGAGAGAGAGAGAGAGAGAGAGAGAGAGAGAGAGAGTGAGCGAGTGAGCGAGCGAATGAGTGAACGAGCAAGCGGGCGAACGGCCGAGCGAGGGAGCGAGCGCGACAGTATGTGTGTTACCCAAGTATAAAGAGGACGAAAGACGGTGGGGCTGTGTTGCTTATTGTGTAAATATAAACAAATATCGTTGAAACCAACCAACAGGCCTGCTTTTAACCTTCCCCTCTCGCTCGCTCGCTCACTCGCTCCTCTCTCTCTCTCTCTCTCTCTCTCTCTCTCTACATACTCTCCCCCCAAGCTCCCCCACCGAACCCCCAGACCATTGCCGTCATCGCCCTGCCCCGTAGCCGCCACCTCCCTCTCTCTTTCTATATATCGTGAGCGCTGGTCCCTTCTTCGTTTCTTTCCAACGAGTGGTTATGTACACATGGCGCACACATATCCAATCGGCCGCGTGCACGTGCACGCTCGCACACGAGCGCTGCCATACACACGTGTACATGCGAGCGCGCCGTTTCAACTCTCATCTTACGTTCCTCTTTTTTATGCTCTTTAGAGGCTCGTCAATGACTGCGAGAGAGCTCCGGTAGTACGCGTAGGAGCTAGTCTCAGTACAAGAATTGCGCCATCTTGGGTTTGCTTTTTCTTCTCGTTGAAAGGATGAAGGTTAAATCCTTTCAGGGGTGCTTATAAGATGCATGTCGTACTTGGAACTCTTTTTCTCAAACCGCTCGGGCTTTCCATTTCGCCAAGTATGCTATTGGATATGGATTTTGTACTTCTGTGCGCTTCGCAAACTCGATAATAGAGATAAGAAATAGTTCTTTGGCTTCCAAAATCTAATGCTGCGGCGTCGCGTGGCACACCGGCCTTTCTCCATTCTTTCTTTTTCTTCAATTTGCCACCTATTCATCCTGCTGTCATTTTATGCACAGCCAATGCCAAACGAGCTACGGCACATATCTTTTAATTTGTGTCTTTGCACTTTGATATTCGTTCATTTTGTGTAACGGGACAGCTGATCGACTATAAGTCAGCAGATGTGACGGGTTCATATTTACGTACGAATACACAAAAACGAGGGGCTGGCAGTTGGGCACGTGATTTCATTACAGGAGAATCATGGTTGTTTTTTTTCATCTTTTTTTTTTTTTTTTTTTTAATAGAATTTTTTCTGAAAAGAAGTTATTGAGATTATGTCTGCCGAAAATACATTTATTTTGTCCCTAACACTTCTTGATAAATGCAATAATTTCTTACGGTAATATATTACACTTTATGTGTATAGTTGAAAAAATTGTAATCATAATTCTGATAGATATTAATCATACGTGTATAGATTAATCCATGATCGCGAACCGATGAGGGCTTTGTATTTTTCGTGTAATTTCAATAATTGTGCAAATAAATATTCTTATTTATACATGCGTGCGCACTCACGAATACACATAAAAGACGAAAAAAAAAAAAAAAAAAAAAAAAAAAAAAAAAAAAAAAAAAAATTTTTTTTTAACACTTATAAGCCATAAGTCCTAAGTAGTTAATCCAAATTTTCTTTCATTATACCATTGTAAGACAAAGTATTCCAAGCAACAAATGCTTTTTTGTTTGTTCTTCAAGATAACAAGAATTTCAATCTATAAATTATTTATTATACCTTTGCAAATATACTATTGAAATTTGAAAAAAAAAAAAAAAAAAAAAAAAAAAAAAAAAAAAGTGATAATAAATGCTAAGTTTTAATGTATAAATTTTATCTTCGAGAGTATCATCATTTTTGTTATCAAGTCACATAGCACGCAATTGGAAAGTACTGAAGATTCTTCGATATATTTCTTATCAAATTGCTCTTTAACACATTAAAGTATTAGTAAGAAATCTTGGAGAAGCTAATTAAATATTTGTAATTTACAATGATTATTGCTATTGGGATGATATAGAGCCTCTTGATACCTAACGACGCAAATCTTAACAAATTTTCCTGCAAAACCTATTATTATAGTTTTCTCTAAATAATCCGCGTTCAAAGTGACCAGTCAGTCATACACGTCTCAATGCCAATGAAATTTCAATATTCGTATTATTACATATATATTATTACATATATATATATATATATATATATACATATGTATATGCATATATATATATACATATATATATATATATATATATATATATATATATATCTATATTATTCGTAATCGCGTGCTCTCCGTATCTCTCCAATGTATCTCTCGACTTCTCTTAGTAAATCTCTTGCGCAAAATCATATGTAATGTAGGGAGGAGGCTTGTGTGCATTCGGTGTGTCTAAGATGCTGTTGGTTGTCGAATTGAGATTAAGCAGGCAGTATCACTGGGCTTACCAAGAAAACTTTACCGTTTAGCGAAACAACTCGGCCGTATATATTTGTACAAAAATCAATAGTGAAAACACTGTCGGAGGAGCTGAAATTTTTTAGCTAAACGAGGAGGGGCGGAGAATAATAACACACGGGAGGACTTTCGTGGAACGTTCGATCGGCGAGGGACGGAACTTCTCGAGATGTTATTTTCTAATGCACGGAATATACACGTTGTTTATCCATGAAAAGGGGTTATTTATATCCTTGTAAGGAGCGCGAGGCTATTCCAAATAAAACCCTATTGTATTATTTTCAGCTACTCCGAGCTTTCCAAACGGTGCTGATCACTCTACATTGCTTCATTAAGGTAATCGACTATTATTAATAATTTAATTCGACGCTATTAATTATTCCACGCTCTATGTTTAATATTAATTTTATCTTCTACTATTGCTGGCTACTTTCGAGTGCTCAGCATTCTTAATACTTCATGATGTTTGTACTTTTAGCGACGCAACTTGAGCGATAAATATACTTATGAATTTATCCATCAATCAAAATAATTATTAAACTAATTTCTCTTTTATTTCATATATTGTTTTGTTTGGATTTGTTTTTTGTTTTTTTTTTGTTTTTTTGTTTTTGTTTGTTTTTGTTTTGCTTAATGTTTTATTTTGTTTGGATCTGTCTTCG